CTCTCTCTCTCTCTCTCTCTCTCTCTCTCTCTTGGTGACTTTGAGTGACTTGGGCCACACGAGCCGGTGGTTATTGTTGTGAACTTTCAATTTTTTTCATTGGAAATTTTTTGGACACATTGCCGTGAGGGCGACGGAAGGATAAGTGGAAAAAGGGACGAATATTGTCATAATGTGAATTTTCACTGCCCCGTGTAAATTTTAAGTCGCCAGTTAAGATTGTACGCGGTTTCTCCCAGCGCTTAATCGAAATATTAAAAGCTAATATTGAAAGGCAGTATTATTATTATGTTTTTTACATTTTCATTATTCGTTTTTTTTTTTTTTTTTTTTAAGAAATTTATTGAATATTGATTAACTAAATATTTTACGCTTAATTATGCTTTTGCAGATGTGTCTTTCTTTACTCGTCGCACCATTGAGTATGATAAATTTTTTCCCGTATATTTAAATTCAATAGAAATATTATTGTAACGTTATCAAGTTTCTCTCGAATACGTTCAAAATATACTACACAAACGTTTAAAATTAATTTTAATTTTCCAATACAAAAGGTAACTTTCGGTATGAAAACAAGTTTATTAAAACAACATTTTATAATTTAACTATTAATTGGTTCGTACGCGTAATTAATTAAATAATTTATATACACATCATTAATTAAACACATTTATATAAAAAATTCTTAGTTTAATTAAATCCTCTTTTTGGAATGCATATTTTTGGATAAATATAAAATACTGGGTATAACATTGTTAGATAATTATCTGGAATCGATAGCAGAAGTTGGTATTATATTGTATTTTGTTTTAAATATTTAAAATATTTATTCTTACACTAATTTAAATACCGCCTATTTCATTACTGTTTAAGCGTATCGAACCCGCTATTTCAAAAATACCAACAAATGGATCGATAAAATATCTGTAAATGGTTTTAATTAAATACATTTATGAATTTTTAATTATATTGACATTTGATTAATTAAGGCCACTGTGTACTATTTATCGCTTGGTACTCTTATAATTCCACGGTAAACCTGAAATTACTTTTTTTTTTATTTTATAAGTAACTAAGATCTAACGATATTTAAATTCGTCCCTCTACGAAATATATTTCATGTTACTTTGCGTAGTGCGTTAAAACATTTATTTATTAAAGGAGTATACGTAACTTTGTAATTCGCCTTATTGAAATCAACGGTCTTTACGAAATTTTGAAGATAGATTAGCAGAGAGAGAGAGAGAGAGAGAGAGAGAGAGAGAGAGATAGAGAGAGAGAGAGAGTAATCGATGTACAAATACTAGTGTATTTCATTTACAATGATTTTCTTGGTCCAATATTGTTTAGCATACACGACGTGCACACGCCCGAGAAGCGATCGCCCCGGCAATTACTGTTTTAGGTCTCTAATGCTTAGCAATTAGCCTTATATGTCTAATAATCTCTCGTTTCAGTGGAGAACAGAAAATGAGCACGGTACTACTTATTTCTAAACTTTTTGCGCAAGTTTTACTCTTCTGGCGCGAATGGAATTTCAGTCTGGCTTCTTCTTCACTTCGGGGGCATAAGTACTTGTGCAGTTCCAGCCGATAAAATCTATTCAATGAGCCAAGTTTCTTTTTTGCTAGCACGAGTTATGCTTACTGTCGCGTGCGCTCGAAGAAATCCGAGTGTTATGACAGGAACTGAATTTTTCCCTACGCAGCAGAGAAGTATATAACTTTTTCAACTATCGTTATTGAGGGTCTTTTCAGGGAATCAAAAATAAGTACTTTAATTCCTTTCGTTTAATTAAATAATTATTTTCAATTTGTGTTTAAATTTTTATTTACGCTCGCACAGTTTGAAATGTAAAGTTTAATGCCCACCGTTCGTACTACTTTTATTTGCTTATTTTTAGCCATGTTATGTACAGTAATGTTTTATGAATTCTTCATGCGTTCACTTAAAAATATAAGGAGCATCCATATGAAAAAAAAAAAAAAAAAAAAAAATTAAACAAGAAAAAGATAAAAAAGAACTTTCAATTGCTCGTAAAAAATTTAATATACAATATAAAATATAATTGCGCTATATATTTTGAAAATTCATTTTAATGACTGATTGGACTCTCGTTAATCCCAGCCTAGGAAACAATAATGTGTACGACGAGGACTCCCGGAGGTGTGAAATGGCATAAAGTACAGATTTACACGCTACTTCTAATTGGCGCGTGTGAGGAAATTTAAAATGCGCGACAACCCAAGAGTGACGATTATAGCGAAGAAAAGGTCTTCGCGGCTGGGAAGAGGCGAAGGCGAAAAAAAAAAGAGTTGAATGGTACATGAGCGATAGTAGGGGATTAAGTAGAATAAAACTACGGCACTGCATCATGGGGATGATGTTGAAGATAAGATGATTTACGCGTATTATTTATACGACTGAATTGGCTGAATTAATTATTGTAACACGGCATTTAAGGTCATGTTGTCGCATAGAAGAGATGCAGCATAAAGTAGATAAGAGTGTATGGGGGGCAGGGAGGACCTCAACCTTGAGCGAGCGTTACACAAATATAATCCTTATTTATGAATTATGTATTTATCAATGGTGATAAGAAAATAACGAATTGAAGCTGCAGTTATATTCCAATTTGGAATTATTTCGTTATTTGACGAGCTCAGTCCCGTTGGCCTATCAAAATTTGACCTTAGAAGTACCCGCAACTTAACTGGAGCGAAAGCGCAGGAGGAAGTACGCGCGGGAGCTTAGCATCAGGTAAGCCGGATGTAAGGGTGGTGCTCGTAAGTGTACTCAACGCTTATAAGGAAAAGCATCGCGAGAGTAGGGGTAACCGTATTCCCATGAAAATCTTGACGTAGCATTGCTTAATAACTAACCTTTTAATTATAAATTTTGTCGATTATTATTTTGTTATATTAGTTCGATATTGCTCCATTCGCTCTTTTATATAAAAATTATTCTTTCTATTTATTTTCATATTATAAAAAGTAGAGCAAATTTATACTTAACAAATATTTTGTTTTAATAAAGGGAGCTTAATTTAAATCACTTACCAATCCTGTTTTTAATTAAATCACGTGTATTGGATTTGAACAATAATTGTTTTTATCGTCATTGATCCTAGATGTTCTTAAGCCGAAATCACGTTAATCGACAAAAGAAATTAATAGTTTCATGAACAATTATATATTTTTTATAATATTACGATGTTACGTGTAAATACAGCAATATATTTTTTTTAAAGCAATATATTTTTTTTAAAGCAATATATTTGATGATAATTATTAATACATAAAATTTATTGTCATTATTAAGAATATCTTTGTATTAAGAATACAAATAAAATTATATTTTCTTAAAGCCATTCTTATAATAATAATAATATTTCTTCCACATACAACTGCATTATATTTACATTTAGAGTACGGAGAGATATTTTCAATATTTATCATACTGTTTGTATATTGTGAAAAATTATCCGTTAATAAATGCAATATTATATAATGCTATTTAATATTTAAAAATTTTTTTTGCATTTTATTTATAGAACTGTTCCGTTACTACAGTGCTTGATGCTTGCAATTATTATATTTTTTGATATTTTGTTTATTAACACTTATTTTTAACGAGCTGTTATTACAATTTTGATATTATTACAGTTTTGTCAACGCATAATCATTTATTAAGGAATTTTAATTATGTACAATGCTGGTATTTATTATTGTAGCATTGGCTTTCTTCAAAATTTAATTAATAATTAACTACCAATTGATATTTCTTCATCATTAAATTCATCATATAAACTGTTGGTTGTTTATTTGACGTGTACCTATTTGAATTTATAAGGTTAGTCGTCGGATATGTAAGATCTTATATGTTTACGTTTTTTAAATAATAAAATACATATTAACTTGTTGGCAAAAGCATGTAATATTTCAATCGTTATTTTCGTTTAAACTCCAAATAATTTAATCTTAAGCAACACGTGATATAACTTTTGTGTCAATTAAAAAATAAAGATTATAATTTAAGATTGGACATAT